GTGAAGTCGGCTGGTCCAGGACTCTTCTTCATTGAGAGGTGTTTTTATTTGTTTGTTTTTAATTAAATGATTGTGTTTTTTGGCAAGAGTTTACATAGAAAATTAGGTTCCCATTTAACAATCTCAACACAATTTGCTCAGTGACACTGGTTACATTGTTTTCAGTGTGTCAACTTTCTCATTGTTTCTGTTCTGGTTGTTCCGTTTCCATTAATCTAGTTTCCCTAGCCCCTTGCCCTCTTGTTTTTACTCTTGAGTAAACATTAACTGGTTAGTCTCACATAGATGCTTTTTAAAAAGAAGCACAGTACTCATGGATGATATTGTTTATCTTATGAACCAATCTGTTATTTAGCCAAAAGAGAATCCCATGAAATAGTTGGTTCCTGGTGTAAAGAGTAACTCAGGGTGATAGTCTTGGCAAGTCCTCTAGTCTCAATTAGTCCTGTAAGTCTGGACTGTTTAAGAATCTGAATTCTGTTCTGCTTTTGCTCCCATTCTACTTGGATCCATCTATTGTATTCTTGATCAGAGCAGTTGGTAGCGGGCACCAAAAAATTCTTCCAGTCTCAGGGTAGATAAGATAGTGGTTTGTGTAGACTGTTAGTCCTATGTACTAGTTTCTTCTCTGAGTCTTTGTTTACCTTCTTTCTCTGCTATTCTGGACACATGGAGACCAGTAAGTAGTGTCTTAGTGTTGGGAGGTTTTGGATGACTGATTTAATGTCTTTCACTTGTAATGGTTTAACTTTTCTCTTGAAATTGATTCATTTGAATGCCCTTATTTAACAAGTATACTCAACACTGTAATTTATTGATTCACTAAACCCAGCAAAAATCATTCATTCACTAAACAAACATTTATTGGCGCACTGACCATTTGCTGGGCTCCATTGTAGATTTTGGAGTCCTGGTGTGGCTCTGTGAGTTAATGCACGAGACCGCAAAGCCGTTTGAATTGCAAGGTTGGTGGTTCAAGCTCACCAGAGTCTCCTTGAAAACCCTATACAGGGTCGCTATGGGTCGGAACCAACTCGACGGCACTTAACAACAACAACAACAATTGTAGACTTTTATTTTCTTATATTATTTTATTTATTTTCCAAATTACCATCAACCAGTATATTGTTAAGGAGCTCTGGAACATAGTGGTTATCAATCGGGCTGTTAACGTCAAAGTTGGCAGTTTGAAACTACCAGCTGTTCCGTGGGAGAAAGATGAAACTTTCTGCTCCTGTAAAGATTTGCAGCCTTGGAAACCCTGTGCAGGATCACTATGGGTCAGAACCTACTCCACGGTACTTAACAACAACAACAACAACATTGTAGGTATGGGGGTCACAACTGGGACAAGGACTCACAAAGACCCTTGGTCTCCTAGAGGGGACATTCCAATTGAACAGAGGGAAAATTTAAATGCTTGATTCTCAGGATAATGTCAGGGGTGAAATTACTATGAAAGAAAATGAAGAAGACAGACGGAAGTTGGAGGGGGTTTGCAGGTTCAAATAGGATGATGGTGTGGGGATCCTCACCAAGAATGTGACATTTGAGCCAAGGATTGAGCTGGCAAAGGGATGAGTTATGCAGAAATTGTGGGACAGTAGTTCCAGGCAGAGGAAACAGTTGGTGCAAAGGCCCTGGGGCAGAATCAGCACTAACAGTCTAGCACAGCATGGGAAGACCAGTGGAGCCGTGGTAGAGAGCGTGTGGGAGAGGGAAAGTGGGAGAGTGGCAGATCCTATAGGGCCTTGTGGGCAGTGGTGAGGATTTTGGCCTGAGCTCTAAGAAAGCTGAGAGCTTGGGAGGGCTCTGAGTCGTGGAGGGGTGTGAACTGATGGATTTAAACAATTTTAGTCCGGCTATGGAAAGGGAAACAGACTGTAGGGACAAGACTGGAAACCAGGAGACTGGTAGAACGCTGTTACATTATAAATGGGAGGGAAAAAAAAGACATAAATGGGAAGTAACTGCAAATATGGGAGCCTGGTGGCTCTGTAGAATAAGCACTAAACTGTGAAGCACAAGGTTGGTGGTTCAGTGGAAGAAAGATGAGGCTTTCTGCTCCTGCAAAGACTTA